TGCTCTAGTGCCATCCTTTCTCTTTAGCTTCACCTATCGATTTTTTCCAGTGTTTCATTGAAAAAATCGAAGTTTAAACAATTGAATTTTTTAAACCCTTATTTTTCGATGGGAGCTCAGGGCCATGGATGGTGGCTTTTGGACAAATGACAGGGATTAATATTTTAGATAAATTTCCTACCTAGCACTCTGGGAGGCCAAGGCAGGAGGATGGCTTGAGGTCAGGAGTTTGAAGCCAGCCTGGGCAATAGTGAGATCTTGTTTCTACAAAAAATAATCATAACAAAAATTAGCTGGGCATGGTGACATGTGCCTGTAGTCCCAGCTACTGGGGAGGCTGAGGCAGGAGGATCACCTGAGCCCAGGAGTTTGAGGTTGCTGTGAGCTATGATGATGCCACGGCACTCTAGCCTGGGTGGACAGAGTGAGACTCTGTCTCAAAAAATAGTTCCTATACTACAGAAGAGTGAGATCAATTTTAATATCTGGGAAGTGAAAAACTATAATAGGACCAGCCATTACTTGCAGATAAGTTATTAATATTACCTGGAAATTGTGCAGAAATTTTATGGCTTAAAAACCACTTCCGTATATTATCTGTTTCAACACTCAGAAGAACCCAGTGCAGTAGGTTTATCACTAGTAAGTATCTTGCTCAAAATAGCACAGCCAGTAAGCAGTAGAATTAGGATTTGAGCCTAGATTTCTAGATGCAAATCTTATAATCTCTTCATCATCTCAAAGAGCTTCTTATCAGGACTCATTGGCAATCTTCACGAAGTGTTTTAAGGGGTGATGGGTTCTCCCCCCTCAAAATATACTGGCTCATCTACAGCTTCAAAGCTCCTGGTAGAGTCAACCCATTGGATTGAGGCATTTTCTATGGAAGACCCTATAATTAGGGGGCTGGTGGGAGGCTAGCCTTTCTCTAACACAACTATTGACATTTTTGGCGAGTTGATTCTTTTCTTTTTCCTTTTTTATTTCTGCCTATTATGGGGGTACAAATGTTTAGGTTACATATGTTGCCCTCGCCCCCCACCCCCAGTCAGAACTTCAAGCGTGTCCATCCCCCAGATGGTGCGTACCACACTCATTATGTATATATATACTCATCCCTTCCTCCCCACTCCCATCTGCCCAACGCCCAATAAATGTTATTCCTGTGTGTGCACTTAGGTTTTGATCGTGGCCAGTTGATTCTCTGCTGTGGGCGGCTGTCTGTGGATTGCAGGATGTTTAGTAGTAGCCCTTGCCTCTACCTGTTGGATGCCAGTAGCGACCTCCAATCATTGCAACCGAAAATGTGTCTAGACATTGCAATCCCTGCTGGTTAGTTTAGTCTATTCTGCAGTGATACCTTTCTTTTAACTGGACATGCCTTACCAAGTAACTGAGCAAAGCCAGGCAGATTGAGAAGTGGGTTTGTAGCCACTTGTAGTTAGAAGGTGCAGCTGTTTGAAGAAAATTCCATACAAGGAGGGCCTTTGTTCAGCCAGCAGCTTATTCCATGACCTGACTGTCATAGATACCTTACAGTCTCAAAGGCTCTTCTGAAAGGAGTAGATATTTGCTAGAGAAAAAGAGTATCTCTATGGAAACGAATCTATTCATTTTGGAAAAACAACAAAAACAAAAAACCCTTAAATTGTTTTCTAAGCCCTTAAGGTTTTCTTTCTTTCTTCCTGCTTCATGACTCCTAATAATCCATGATAGGAGAACTCTGCAATTATTTAAAGCTACTTAATTATCAAAACTTTCATCTCTTGTCACCCATCCCTGAATTTGTCACCTCTGTTTAACCCTCCCTGGTGTTTAAATAGCTAATCTAGTGCTGGTGGCCAAGTTAAGACGTGCAAATCTCTGAGTAACTTCATAGCGACCTTCACGACGCTATTTATTTGGTTTTCCCTTTTGTGTTCCTTTATATGAACTAACTTGGCCCTTGCTAATAATTAAAAGGATTTACTGAAGTATTCACCAAAGTCAGTAGATAGGAATTTCTGGGAATAGGATGTCTTGTGACATTAACTTGTCCCCCGAAGTATAAAACAAATTCAGAAAGGTTATTTTTAAAAACTGGTTCAGGTTGATATGTGTGTCCGTGAAGGCTTGTGTGTGTGTTCATTCACTCAGGAAACATTTGTTGAGCTTCTACTATGTGCCTGGTCCTGTCCTGGGCAGAGACAAACAAAAACCTCTGCTTCACAGAGCCTCTATCCTAGTGTGGGGGGACTGGGGTGATAGGTAATGAGTAGAATATATCCTATGTCAGATGGCAGTAACTGCTACAGGGAAAATAAGGCAGAGAAGGATGCCAGAGTGTAGGGTTTTGTTTTAAAATTGGGAAAACGGGTTAATCAGAGACCTCAGGGAGCGAAGCGTGAGGATCTAGGGAGCATCTGGGCAGAGCATGCGCAGTGAGTCTTAGGAACAGCCAGCGGGCAGGCTGGTGTGTTAGGAGCCAGGGAAGTCTGGCAGCAAATGAAGCCAGAAAGAGATTGTGCTTCCCTCATTTTATAGGACCTCATACTTCATACACAAGGACCTGACTTTCTCTTGGTGTGAGACAGGAGAATTTGAAAGATTTTGAACCTAAAAGCCACATGGTCAGACTTGTGATTTTCAAGGAGACCAGCAGCCTGTGGGGTGAGAGCAGACTGTATTCCTTTAGAAATAAACATTATTTAAGTACAGAAAAATCAAAGAAATTATAAAATTATGTGATAGGAAAATTTTAAAATGCTTACTAAGACTAGCATTGAAACACGGAAGATTCTACATTCTAGAGGCAGATGGTGTTATTTTGAGGGCCCATGCCAATAGGAGTAAATAAATCTAAGCCCCATAAAATAATAAATCTGAAGCCTATAACATAAAACGACCTTGTGCGATATGCAGGATCAGTTGCTAGGACAGAATAAACTTTATTCGTATTGTTTTCCTACAAAGACACCATCCAGGGCCAGCTCCCAGTGGCCCAGTCAACAGCCTTTTGCCTGTGACTGTGCCTTGTCTGCAGACTGTAGCCAGTAATCTCTCATTCAGCTCAAAACCTTGAGATACAAGTCCTCCTATATCCACGACCTCTCTCTATCGAATTTGCTTGAGTTAAAGTTTTTGGAATATTATGGACATAAGTATATGCCTTTAATTTGGTTCTTTGTGGTAGCAGAGCACTGGAGACAGTTGGTTTGTTTTTCAGGACAAAGTCATATACATATAAAACTTATCTCACATTTTCCCAAGCAGTGCAAACAAACCTAGAGCCCTTCAACGGCGCACAGGCCCTCAATGTCTTTTGTACATTCTGAAATCCTAAAAAGCTCTGGACACTGCAAGCTTTTTCGGGAAGCAAAACCAGACTGCCCTGCGTTCATCTGGTGGTGACCCTGAAGCTATGCATGGTTTGTGTCTCACCCAATGGGATGCTCTTCTGTGTCGCTGCAGAAATATTAATGTGTTTGATCACAGGGTGGTGCACTGTGTCACATAATATACAGTATAAACGTTCAATCATCTTTTTAAGAATTCTGTCTTCTGAAACACATCTGACCTCCCAGGGTTTGCATAAGAAATTGTAAATGTGTGCTGTGTTTGCTGTTTGGAGCTGAATGTGTGCCGGCTTCACCTTTCTTTATGCCACCCTTCTATAAGGGTGATGGTTGCTTTCTTGCCTTGGTGAACAAAGCAGGATTCCTTTTCTAGGTGTCCAGAGCTTCTGCAGAGTAGGGTATGTGTCCGACATGCTCATCTGGAGCTCACTTGTGTGGGTGCCATGCTTTGAGTAGATGTCATTTTGTGATGATGAAGCTTCTGACCTGTTCCTTCCCAAATAGGGCACAACCTTGGAGAAAGGTGGCATGAAGCTGGGTGTCCCGGGGCTCCTGCTCTGTCATCCATCCGTGATGGGCAATGGGAATATAATAGAAGGTGACATCCTGGTGATGGCCAAATGTGTGACTCCAGGCCACAGAGAAGACACCACCACCTCTTGCAACGAGAACAGAATACTCTGTGGGCATGAGGGGCTCATGTGTCTCAGGGAAGTATCAAAGCTGTTAAGAGCCTGACAAGTCAAGTCAATCTCAAGCTGGGACCCCTGTTCCACCACATTTATCGGAAGTGCCATCTTGGGTAAGCCAGTTCCTTACTGCAACCTACAAGATCTAGCCTGGTTCTCATAGCTTGCTACATAATTTCCACCATTAACTTCCTTTCGTAAGGAGAAGGTATCTGGTCTGTGATCCTGGAAGATTCCTAACCCAGTGAATTCCATGGCTCCCTCTTTCACACCTTGGATTTTCTTCTCTCCATCTCCAGCTCCCCAAGCCCTTATCTTTGAGGCTGAAGCACTAAAATTCTAGGAGCACTAGAAGCACGAGAATTCTAGCATTAGAATTATAGGAGCATCCACAAGATACACGGACTCTTAGATTCTTCAGGGACCAGGGAGATAGATGAAGGCTATAACCTTTTCCCAGCGCAGCACTGAGTGGCAGGCCCCTCATACACAACAGGGAGCATCTCTGGTCAGAGGGACTCAACTGGCTTCTTGTGTTTCTATATTCAGGGCCTCTGGAACCTCTCAGGAGGACACTACAGAAATTGGAAGGCAGCCAGAGTGGCCTCCCCTGCTGCTTTTCTCTAGGGTTTGTACCCTTGCTCCTGGACAGCAGGCACTAGGCGGGCATCTTCAGTTGGGTGCTGGAGTGGCTTAAGGCTTCATTCCTGGAGTAAGATGGGGATCGTGTTCGGGTGTCAGAGGGTGTGTTTGGGGGGTGATTTAAATGACTCTGGAACTTGAAGCTGTTCCAGAAAACACCCAAGCGGTCAGTCGAACCAGGATCTCTTCATTAAAATCCACAAGAAAAGCTGTCATTGGCCAGGCTCCCAGGCCACCCAAAGTTGGGGGAGGAGGGCAAGACAAACCCCGCCCAAGCCCCAGGGGGATGGAGTTGGCCCCAAGGACTTCTGGTCAACCCCAGGACACAGGACAGCGGGCCTGACCAGGCACTTCAAAGGGGGCAGGAGCCAAGCAGCCTTCTCCAGCCTCGCACTACACCTCCAGGCCTGGGCGCCGAGCTTGGGGTCCCGGACGCAGAGGAGCGTTAGAGAGAAACTCAAGCGGTGGAGGAAGAATCCAGAGACCTTAAACTGGGGGAAGGGGCGCAGTGCCTTGGGGCCCAGCGGATTTGGCCCAGCGTCCGGAGCACAGCCCCAGAGCCCCAGCTAAACCTTCGCCTCTGGAGCCCGGGGCGGGGCGTCCTCTCTCGGAAGGGGGCTCAGCGGCCCCTGGCACCCCGCCCCGTGCCCAGAGCCACCAGCCCCCTCAGCTGAGTCAAGGGAGGGCTCAGGGTTAAGGACAGTGATCTGTGGATATGGCCGACGCCGCGGAGCCGGAGGGGGGCGCCCTGGGTCCCCAGGGTCCGGCCGAGGGCCCAGCGCTTCAGGTAGAGACACCTGGCGAGCCCGGGACCACGGGCCCGCAGACTGCAGGGCTGGAGGCGAGCGACGGAGCGGGCGGGGCGGCCGTGGCGGTGAAGGAGGAAGGGGGCGGGGGACCGGGCGGACCGCTTGCCCGGGAACCGGCGCCTGGGGCGGGCAGTGCCCGGGAGGCCGAGGCGCAGGGTGCAGGGGGAGCGCAGGGCGAGGCGGAGGCCGGGGAGGGCGCCCTAGAGGGTGCCGAGGTTCCCCAGGGCGGGGAGCAGGTGGAGGAGGCGAGCCACGGGTGCAGCGCGCAAGGCGAGGCCCCGGGGGAGGCTCAGGAGGAGCCCCTGGACCCTGAGGTCCCCGAGGCGCAGGGGGAGGCGGAGAGCGGGCTGGAGACGCAGGGAGGCAGCGCGCCCGTGGCGTCCGGCGACAGCACAGAAGTCAGGGGGCTGACGGGGGGCAGCACAGAAGCCAGGCCGCCGGCGGGGGACAGCGCAGAAGCCGAGGGACCGGCGGGGGACAGCGCAGAAGTCGGGGGGCCGACGAGGGACAGCGCAGAAGCCGGGGGGCCGGCGGGGGACAGCGCAGAAGCCGGGGGATCGGCGGGGGACAGCGCACAAGTTAGGGGGCCGGCGGGGGACTGCACAGACACGGACGGGACGCCCGGGGACGACATGTATGCCGGGCGGCCTGCCGGGGATAGCACCGACGCCGAGGCGCCAGTGGGGGACTGCATGGACCCCGAGGGGCCGGCAGGAGGGCCGCCCCGTGTCGAGGGTGAGCCCCAGGACGGAGGGGACCACAGCCCCCCGCCCCAGGCCGAGGCGATGGAGGTCGCAGCCTCTGAGAGCGGTGGGCGTGGGCGCAGCCCCGGGGAGCTAGCGGTGGGCGCTGCGGGGGACGCGGCGAAGGAGACCGGGCCCTTGGGGACAGAGGGGTCCGAGGAAGAGGCCCCTGGAAACAGGCGCTTAGACGCTGGCGAGGACGGGGCCGCAGATCGGCCCCGGGAGGAGACGGAGGAGGAAGAGGAGAGGCCAGAGCCGGGCCCGGAGGGGCCGCGCGAGGAAGCGGCCGCCGGGGGCGCGGGGGAGCCGCCCCGCAGCAGCCCGGATCCCGACGCGCAGGCGGCCGCGGAGCCCCAGGCCGAGCTCAGCAACCACCTGGCGGAGGAGGGCGACGCGTCGCGAGTGAACAGCCGCGGGGAGGACGGAGAGGCGTCCCCGGGCCAGGAGCACGACATCACCCTCTTCGTCAAGGTAAATCTCGCTTTCCCGACTCTTGGACGTCCTTCTCGTTTTTGGTCTTGGTCTTAGTTAGATCCCAGAGAGAGGCACACGCAGGGAGGGCGCCCCCGGGACAGTAGTTGTCACCAGCTCTCCTCCCTGAACAGCAGAGATTTCACTAAGTGTTTCGGGAGCTTTTGGTGCAAGACTTGACCATGACGGTTTGCAACAAAGAGGTCGGGGTCAGGGCGGCTGGAGTGAGGATGTGGGTCCAGCATCCCACTGTCCTTTGTCCTGAAAATCCTAACTGGCCCTCCTAGTCTGGAGGGTATTAAAGACTTGACCAAAAGGGGTGGGGGTGGGGTGGGGGAAAAGCCGCTGTCCTGTTGGCGTCCAGAGGAATTTCTGCCAAGGGAAACTTTAATACAAATGCAGACAGGGAGGTTCGACACTAGAAATATCTTCTGGAGTGGAATCTCAGAGGCCCAGAGGTGGCCAGTGGTTTTCAACTCCAGAAAGGTATTTCATTTTGGTAGAATCAATAATGTATATTCAGGAGGAAAGTGGAACCTTATTTCCATATTATAATATTTATTGAACATTTTAACATTTATTTGGGAAGAATACAAGATGCTGGTCACTTGAACACCATCTGCCTGTATGTCATATGTTTAACCCCACTTCACATGGGAAGAGAGCAAGGATTCTGTGCAGGAGAACACAGCTGAGCAAGTTTGAGTTTAAACAGGAATTTTTTCGTAAGGCATGAAAAATGCGGGGACAAAGTCCAGCAGTGGTTCACACCAGGATCTTTGTTTTTTTTTTTTTTTAAAAAAAAAAAGCCTTTGCGGAAGACCTTCGGCCAGGCCCAGAAAAGCTGGAGATGATAAGGTCAAGAATGTGCCTTACACATTGGGTCATAATCCTTCAGAAATGCTTTCAGGCTTATAGAAGCCAGTTACCGCCTAACCCTTTCTGGCTGAAATGTGAGCAAATTCTAATAAGTACAAGGAAATGCTCCCAGAGTGATTAACAGCAGAACTCCGAGAATTGTTTGGGTGGCGAGGGACCCGGGGGAGAGTGGGCCTGCGTTTCTTCGCTAGTGAGAAGGTGGCTCTCTCAGCATCTTCAAGACCCTGGGACACAACCTGAGGGCACCACCCCTAGCGAAGAGCTGGAGCATCTCTGCTGTGCCGCCCCAAATCTGCTCCTCTCCTTTGCCTGGGTGTGAAACCTTGCCCTTCATTCTGGTCACGTGGCTGTGCGATTCCAGCAAAGGGCCTCTTATTGCAGCTTTGAGATACAGTAACTGCTCCCAAGGAGTCTCCGTGCTTCAGTTCTTGGCCCTCTCCCAGCCAGTGTCTGTAATAGCCAGGGAGCTGAGGACAAGATCTGATCGCTTTGTTTCTTAGTGTAAAATTCTTCAGTTGTTCCCTGCAGAATTTCGGCTAAATCCCTACTCTTAGGCAGGCCACGATGGTGATGTGATGTTGTTTCTGCCTCTTTTCTCTCTGGCCTTCTCTTGGCATTGCTGGGTGTCCCCACCCTTTGTCACCCATGCTACCGCTGTGCCAGCTGCACCCATGCTACCTTGCCACAAGAGAGCACGTTCCTTCCTACCTTGAAATCTTGCGCATGCTGCACCCTCTGCCTGAATGGAGCTTCTCCCCCCTCCCTCATTTCTACCCCTCTGCCTGGTCATCTGCTGCGTGTCCAAGCTTTGGGGGGGGGCATCATCTCTTCCGGGGAGGCTCTTCCAACCCCTGTGTGGGTTGGGTGTCCTGCTGTCGAGGCACTGCCGTCTGCACGCTTTATCTCTTCCCAGACTGTGTGAAATTCATCACTGCATGAATATGACGGAGGCTTGAATGGGTGGCTGCCTGCATGAGCTAGAATATCACGGTGATCAAACTTCAGAGCCAGTGGGCCTGGGATCAAATCCTGGCTCTGCTACTTTCTTGCTGTGTGACCCTGGGCAAGTTACTCAACCCTTCTTTGCCTTTTTTGTCTCATTGATAAAATGAGGACAATAATAGGACCTAGCCCTTGAGGTTATTGTGGGGATTCTAGAATTAGATGACAATGGAGCACTCAGAAAAGTGCCTGGCTTGAAATAAGCATAGCTTAAATCTAAGTTCCTGCTGTTAGTTACATCTGCTTGGCAAGATGTAACTTTATGGTAAAGTCCCATAAACTTTAATAGACTTTAATAGACTTTTCCTAACTTTTATAAACAGTCCGTTTCCTATCCCACCCCTTCCTTATTTGTTTATTTTATTTTTTTAATTTTTTTATTTTTTAGAGAAAATCCCTCTAGATACCTAATTACCTACATTCTCTGGGGGTAAGAATGTTAGGAAAACTAAAGACAACTAGTTTTCCCAGCTGCTGCTCAGAAGTGGTTTGTGTAGGCAAAGACAAGGGGCACACGGTGGGCAGCCTACCCATGATGCTTTACTGTGATGGACCTGGTGCTCAGCTGTGGACCGATTTCTCTTTCTTTAAGGAAACTGACAGGTGGTCACACAGTGACATTGGTTAACTTCTGAGGGTCACTTAAGAAGTGCCTCATAGGATTGATAAGGCACCTCAGTTTCTTCTTATCCTACGAATCATTCCCTTAAAAAACACAGACACACACACACACACAACAAAAAAGACCTCAAAGCAGAAAACAAGCAAAAAACCTTTAGGCCCACATTTTCCAAGTTTGTAATACTTGATTTAAAATCCTTAAATTTGTTCAGAATAGGATTTCTTTGACAGATTTAGCCTTTTCTGGATTCCTTCTCCGGGCTCTATTTTATCTGGACTCTGTATTCCACAGTGGACGTCTGACTTGGGTTTTGGAAACATGTCAAGGCAAGTGCTCATGGTGAATTTTCATGGTGCATTTTCTATGGCATTGTTGGAGTGCAGAATTCACAGAGCTGTTTTGTAAGGAGAGTACTGTGATAATTCTTCCCAGCATTCCTCTAGGCTTCATATGAGAGCCTGGCAAGCAGATTTTAAAATTAATTAGCTCATATTCTACTTGTAAACTTTTAACTTTTAATTCTATTCCTATTTTTTAAAAGTAAATATATCGGTCACAAATATACCAGAACATTTTGATTTACTACCTAGTAACATAGTAATAATTGACTCAAACCTGCTTCTAGTTTTAGCTGCCTGATAGGTTTTATACCCTATCTTTTTGAGAATTGTCATGTTATTAATATGTCATTTTGTTTTATTCTATAAGTATGCAAGGATGTATTCTTATAAAAGAGCCAGGGACATATGGAACAGGTCAAGGAAGGCCTCCTTGAATTATTTTGTGGTAAATTAATTGCTCATTATGCTAATTTTTAGTTTTGTTTTCTGAAAGAAAGTGTCAATTATTTGTCATCAAAATTATAAGGTAATCTTTTAATATATTTAGCAAGAAAGATTTTTTCCTTTTTACTCATAATAGCAAAGGGTAATGGCATAATACCAATTAACACAATACGAACAACAAAGCATAAACTAGGGACTTCAGCAGTGGTGGAGATTTTTGTCACCAAGGAAGTTGTGCTTCCAGCTTTGCTTACAGCTTTGGCTTCTCTAACCCAGTGTGTGCAGTTAGACTCAGGGTCCTTGGGTGGGACAGTCTGAGATACGGATTTCCTGGCAAATTTTACATCACTTAAAAATCCTCAGTGTGACCCATAAATAATCTTGGACCAGAATTTCTCAAACAGTGTTTCGGACACCGTATATCTGACTGTTAACGTGCAGTTATCTCTGAGCTCAAAAGCATGCATTTGCTATCACAATTGGGTTCTACAAAGAGGTGAAACTGAGGCCCGATGGAACAAAGTAAAACTCAATAAGAACATGGCCTTTGGATAAGCACTGTCACCCAGAGACGCCAAGGGAAAAACAAAAGAGCCTTCCAAGCATCTCGAGCCACTGGGCTGGACAGGAGCTTGCCAGGAACTGTGCCTGTCTGTTGGGCTCCTGGTGGCGCAGTGGGCTGCGCCTGTCTATGTGCGTGTCGCCTAGAGAAAGCATGTCGAGACCTGTTCTGTGGGGCTTGGTCTCTGAGGAGTCGAAAGGAGATGTTGTTTTCATAACTGTGTGTTCTGAAGGGAAATGAGCAAAGATGCACTTCTGAGACATTAATTCTCCCCTAAGAACATTTTTTGATTTATTTTCTGAGTGTCTTATAAAACATCCTTGCAAATTACAAATCTGAAATCAGTACAGAGTTATTGAGGGTGGAACTAGGTAGAATGTGATGTTTTGCTAACCTCTTGCATACAGTGGGCTCTGGTGGGCCCTCCACTGGTGCATTTCGGTGGTACAAGGTAGGTGGTCGGGGACGGCTGATTGGTTTAAGGAGACTCCGCTAGTGATAGGCACAACCTGGACACGAGCCCAGTTCCCCACTGCCCCGGTCCAGTCCAATGTATCCTTGTGAGAGGAACAGAGCCACCTTCCCCCATGAAGACCTCTTGGCAGCAGGGCTATGAGATGCCAGGGGCTTTGGGAACATGAGGCTTTTTCCTGCCACGTGCACAAGTCACAGCTGCCATCTCTGTCTGGGCTGATGGGCCACCTGCTTCGTGGGAGAAAAGTGCTGCTTCACCTTCAGCTCGAGTTCCTCCCTCACATCCGTTGTGTCCTGGGTTTCCCACGGCCAGCCTTTCTCTACCGGGCCCACTCATAGCCTCCCTCTTGGAGTATCTAAACCCCATATAACACCTTCAGAAATGCCACACTGGGTCCCTTAACCATGTAAATCCTTCCTTTCATTTTAGATACCTACATAAAACCTAGAGTTGAAGGACTGCGTAAAAGCCAAGCTCTGCTCCATGCCTTAGGGTAATCTGCTAATTCAGTACACATGGATCTATCACCTCCTGTGTGGGGGACACCGTGATATAGTCTGGGGACACATTGGTAAGCAGGACTGACAAGGTCCTTGCCCTCCCAGAGCCTACCACCCGACAGAGAAGACAGCTACTGAGCAGCATAACGCACCACGAGTCTATAACATGGCCACT